ACTCATGTTTATATTTGTATGCATTTGATGAAATCTGTTTGGGTTTCTAATGTTGCGTCAGGCGCTCTGTGGATTGTTGATGTGGGTGTGGACAGCGACTATCATCGAGGCATTGAGCCTATCAGACGCTCACAGAAGCATTCATCATCATCTGCTCTGAATCATGTTGATATGAGGCTTATAACCCTTCTCAGTGAGCGTCAAGAAGATTTGAACCAGCATCGCAGGATACTACACACAGTGAAGAAACTGATGCAGTTTTACTGTCAAAACTTTTTTAATGTGGTTTGAGATGAGCAATGAAAGTCCAGATTCATCTGTAAGATAGAACGTGTCTAATTAAACTATGGCTTTGATTCTTCATGACAACATTGTCATCACAAATATTGTAAAACACACGACACACTCGCTTCACACCTGATCACTTTAACCTCTGGAAACAAAACTGATGCCTGGAAATATTCACAGAGAAGCAGGTGGAGGCAGTTAAAGCATCACCTGCCAATAATATGTGACCCTGGAGCACAAAACCAGTCTTAAGGATCAGTTTTGTGTGCTGCTTAAGACTGCTTTTGTGCTGGAGGGACACATATGTAAAATACTCAAATTCTAAAGCAAGATCTGAAGACTCGTCCCGTCTAGACGCTTCTACTCGTCTGTTTCTCTCTGCCGGAGGCTCCTGGACTTGCTGTTCTCGGTCTTCCTCTTCTTGAACGTGGCTCCGGCGCTGCTCTCGGCCCCCAGCGACGTGATGGTGCGCTCCTTGAATCTGGCCCTGGGCTCCGGAGGGACGCTGGCTGGAGTCTGAGCGACGCTCTCCGTCTGCGGCAGCTGCAGATCCACCTTCTCGCTGCGGAGCAGAACACACACGGACATCAGGAGCTGCAAACACTGGCCTGGATGCAGAGATAGTGACAGCTCTGGTGCTTCAGGGGACACTACACGTGTGAATTATAAAACAAACTGACTGATAAATGTGACCCTGCACCACAAAACCAGTCATAAGAGTCAATTTTGTGAAATTGAGATGTATACATCATCTGAAAGCTGAA